CATCAGAAATACACTTGAGAAGATGAGAACCAATTAGAAGGGATCACTAGGATCGATCACTAGTACCTTGGCTGACGGTGGAAAATCCAACGGAAGCTTTCTAATGGCGAGGAGACGGAGTACTGTACCACTCGCTCTTCTTCAGTCGCCTTGTTCAATGGTAACTCCTTAGCTTTCTTTTTTCAATCAAAATAAGTTAACAGGTTTGATTTTGAGGGTTTTACGAGATCAATTTTGTGCTTTTCGATTTCTTAAATCTATTGGTTCAAGTCTATGGTTTTGAGAATCCAAGGCCAAAATCTTAGCTTTCATGGTTGGTGAAGTTTAATATTAGTCTCTGTTTAGTTTTGGATGTTTAGTAAACACGCTTTGCCATGAGATCTAAGGATTAGATTGTAGGAGAAATATTTCCACACTGAAATTTGATGAATCTCTTGTCCCTGAATGATTCTTTTGTTTCTTTTATTTGAATTCTTTTGATTCTTGTTTCGTTTATTCAAGTCCTAGTCAAGTTTCTTGATTTAAGTCTTTTCACAGATTTTCCCCTTCCGATATGTATCCTAAAATTTCTGAGGAGGACGCTATATGAATAGCTAACGACACAATTTTTCATGTTTGTCCTCATTTTATCATAGTAAACGTTTCCTGTGTGCCGAGTCTTACATCATAAAGGAGATATGTTGTGTGTTTGTGTTCAGGATTTGCTGTTTATATATTCACAAACAATGTGTAAGGATCTTGGTGTGACTCTGAAGCTCTTGAATATGGATTTGTTGGGGTGAAAGGACTCATATCAACAGAGGCTATACAATGAACGAAAAAGCCACATTTGTTCAAATTTTTACCATACATTTGTTTACATTTTTTTTTATGTCCTCTTCTAAATGTTGTACTTACTATCTTTGCAATATAGGTATTTTGTACCATGGATTCTTATTAATAATATATGGAATTTTATTTTCAAATATGTCATTTCTCTCAAAAATAAAAATCTTACAAAAATACATTTTAAAACAAAAATCATAAACTATTGAAAAAAGTACATAAATTATTACACATATCAAATGCTATAATCGATATTAAAGAA